TACACCAGGCAGTTGAATAGAAAAAAGGGCATTGGAAGCATATTTGAAAGACAATGAAAAGGATGCACTGAAAGTAATATATCATGAAGGCTTAGTGAAACTCCCAAAAGACCAAGCTGATCTATAAGAAAAACTAAATAAACAATAGGAAAGAAATATGGCAAGGCAAAGTATTACATAGCCAGTACATTTAAAAAACAAACAAACTTGCAGGCAAAGAAGATAACAACAAGACTTGGCAATGGCTAAGAGCAGGAAAGTTGAAGAACAGATTCTAGGGAGTAAATTAAAGAGTAAATGCTTGGATGATTGCCAAAAGATGTATTCCTGGAAATACTCTTGTGTACCAAGGTACTAAAAATTGGATTACAACATTTATCAGCTATTAATTAACCTTTAAACTGACTTTTTATTAACGCATTGTAAGCCACCCTGAGTCTCCGGAGAAGGGCGGCATATAAGTCTAATTTAAAAAAAAAAAGACATTTCTAACCATGCATGCTTCATGATAATAAACATGGTTAATTTCCAGATTTTTTAAAAAACATTTGTATTCTGTATGATTCAGTCAAACAGATACATGTTTTGTATAAATTACATCACTTTTATATAGCAGTTTATTTATTAAATATATCAGAAGTTGAAAGATTATTTATTATAAAATCTAGTTGACTTAGTTCTCCCTCTCTCTCTCTGTATATGTATGTGTGTGTTTGTATGTGTGTGTGTGTATTTATGTGTGTGTGTCTATATATTAACCAAATTAATTAATATTAACCAAATATACTAAAGCATCTCAACAACTGTGATCAACAACAATGAAGTTATACCAACCACAAGCAACGGTTAAATTAGATGGGTAATAGACTGACAAAAACAAGATGGGAAAAATGTGAATGGTATCTTCCACAATAGCTATAGACAAACATTTAGAAAGAGAACTGTCTAATTACCAATTATTGAATCCCTGGTCTTATATTTCTGGAATACAGACTTGTGAGTCAGACCCATTTAGAAGCAAGTTTGTTTTCTAGTCTTTATATAACTACTGTCATTTAAAAAAATTAGAAACTTAACATTAAGAACAGAGACTAAGTAATATCCCCAAAGGATAGTTTTACTACCAGGGCAGGGACGTTACACACCTCAGTCTATTTTGAGATTTCCACCCCTCACCCAAACACATATCAAATTAAATATCTGCAAACATACTCCTCCCAAAGAAGTCAGGAATTGTCTGTCTCAGATTCCTGTGGATGTTGTGTACATTAATATTAGCAGGAATTTATACTCATTCACTGTGTACAGTATGTGACATGCATTCACAACTTTGATTACAGAAACATTAGTTACATCCCATACTTATTATCATGATAAAACCTGAAATCATGGGAGCTGTGAATTATGAAAGGCTATAGTTCCATATGCTGGAAAGAATTTGCAAGCAGAATCTTATGGTGTTAATCAGGTTTCAGGATGAACAAAACACCAAACATTTCAGAAATCTCTTATCTGTGTCATAGTTTGTCTCTTTTCAAACAAAATCTGATCAAAGATGTTCACCATCTCCTCCAATCCTAAAAAATATTTCAATACTATATTTACCTTGTCGTTTGTATAGACCAGGGACATCAAACTCAAGGCCCATGGGCCAGATCCGGCCTGTGGGGGTGCTTAGATCTGGTCCGCAGGACCGCCCTGGAAACAGTGAAGGATCGGTCCGTGGTGCCTCTGCGAGTGAAAATGGAGCTCGGGAGGCCACGCGCAGCCCTCCAAGGCTCCCTTTTTGGCCGCGACGGCCTCCTGCAACCCTCTGCAGTGAAAATGGAGCTCGGGGGGGGTTGCCCCCCCCCACAAGTTCCATTTTCACTGCAGAGGGCTGCAGGAGGCCATCATGGCCAAAAACTGAGCTCGGGAGCCCATTTTCACTGGCAGAGCGCTCAGGCCACCACTGGCGCCCCCGACATGAGTGATGTCAAGCTGGACACACCTAACCTGGCCACACCCACTCCAGCCCCTTGAGGTAAAACACAACCCTGATATGGCTCTCAATGAAATCGAGTTTGACAATCCTGGTATTGACTGTAGGAACCCATTTCCTCGAGCACATAATATCTGTTACCTTGCCATAAGCTTTTAATTATAATTATACTTTGGGGAAAATATGCAGCTTTGATTTATAATGTTACTATTACCATTACCATGATTAAATATGGTCATTTAAATTTATGTACATAGATCATGCACACCAGGCTGATCCAATTCAAAAACTCATTAAAAATTTATGGCTAGAGCTACAGAATTTATAATGGTTCAGAAGAACCGGGAAATCTTATGAAAACCAAAGCTAAGAATAATTCCAAACCTACTGGAGAACATGACATTAGATAAAGAAGCTGATGCATCCACCAACCAACCCATTCTTCTTGCAGACTTTCTGAAAATAATACTTTAATACATTTATTCCATGAATTAGGACTGGATTTTCTTTCTGCTATCTATCTGTAAAGAAAAAGCATTTGATGAGGGCATAGTTAGCCTTCGGAACAAGACAGTGGCCAAAATAACTTGCTTAGGTTGGCAAAATAGCTTAAAGGCCAAATGTGATTATAATTGCAGCAAAGCAATTAGGAACTGTTTTTTGGTTAAGTAAATAGTAGCCAAGGGACAACCTGAGCAAACCTAGAACTGTGAGGAACAAAAGTTTAACTCTTTCCTTCCCTATCACAGACTTTTTAAAGACTTATTTGCATTTTCTGGGGAAAATGTGTTGGCTGATCCCAATGCAGGATTCCTACTGACACATATTCCAAAGGATTCAGATTGTTTGCATAGGGATTATATCTCAAACTCAAATTATCTCTGTCTTTTTTTCCCCCAACTTAACCTATTCCAGCATCTTCTCTTTACATTATAGAATTCTTCCCCAGAACATTATGAAGTGCATAGCCTTAGTTTCAAAATTACCACCATCTCCTCCAATCCTAAAAAAAAAACTCCCCAAAAACTCTGCTGGTCATTTCAACATTACATCTAACATTCCATGTCCCCACATCAATACACATGCCATTCCATTCCAAATCTACTTCTTCCCTAACTGGAAAAAAACCCAGCAACTTCTTCTTAGGCATTTTCTGACAAGATCCCCACCACATGCTCACTTGCTTTCTTACACGTAGAGACATATAGTAATGTCTATCAACTATGCCATTGTGTTTCTTTGTTCAGAAGCTAGATATGTAGCAACCTTGCTGCCCCAGGTGATCTCAAAAATGGTATGATACATCTCTGAAGTGTTTGAAATCAAGCCCTAACTAAAAGGAAACACTGCTATCTTTTTACACTATCTACTCACTTGGTACCCAGCACTAACTTTTCTTGTCAGTGAAATGGATGTCTCAACTTTGTTAGGCTTTAATTCCCCCCACCACCACAAAAGTATTTTGAAAGCAATAATAAAATTGGACTAATGTTAATAAATATGGAAAAAATGATGAAATCAGAATTTTAATCATTGTAGTGAGATAGCTGACTGAACAGAAAGTCAAGATGAAAGAGGCATTTAACTGGAACCAAGGCATTTTTTAAATGATTAGAAGCAAGTTTTTCCCCCCAGTTTGGCTGCAATTTGGAAGTTCTCCCAAAAAAAATTTTTTTTTAAATTTGATTTATATGCTGCCCTTCTCAGGAGACTCAATGCATTAAGCAATAGCCTTCATACTTTTGTATATATATACAAAGTCAGCTTATTGCCCCCACAAACTGGGTCCTCACTTTACCCACCTTAGAAAGGATGGAAGGCTGAGTCAACCTTGAGCCTGGTGAGATTCAAACTTACAGTAATTGCAGACAGCTGATGTTAATCACAATGCTATCCGTCTGCTGAGCCACCAGGCTCTGTTTCTGAGTAGACATACTAGGACTGCACTCTTGGATTAAATAACCTAACATGAAAAGGGGGTTTGCAGCTTGCATATTTGTGCTCAGAAGCAGGTCCAGAGATTTATTTAGGGTTTGCTCTCACAGGTAAGTGAGTTTGGGACTGACCCTCCATGTGTGACTTTTTGTAAATCCCAAGCCCTTTCCAATAAAACATCTCTCCCCATTCTCTCTTCTCTGCCCACATTGTAATAATATTAAAAGGAACCACAGCTGCCATTTAAGCCAGTACCCTACTGCAAACATTGTTTTTAATGTAAGATTAAGCCCTGGAATAGTGGAGGTAACCAGATGATCCCTATCTCTTAAGAAGGTGCAGCGTCTCTATACGGGTATTGTTTGACATACCTGCAAATCATGTCAGAGAGCCAAAAAAAGAGACTTGGATCGGGTAAATAAATGTCCCTTCTGCCAAGGGAGCCGCGTTTTGAAACGAAAGGACTTGCCCTTTAAAGATACGGTAGGCGTTTAGCTGTCCTTTGCCCTCGCAGCCACACCGTCCAACTGAGATTATATTATAACAAATTCGCCAGGATTAAACCGAGCGCGGCTCTTCTGTTCTCTCCTTTTATTATTATTATTATTATATATCATATATAATAATTTTATTATTATTATTATTATATAAAAAAAGAGGCGCTATAATTTTCCTTCTCTGTTCTTTATCTAACTGTCTCAAAGCGGGATTGCTGCACGACTGCATGAAGCTTAATTTACCAGGTTATTTATAAAGCAACGGAGTCCCTCCAACTTGGAAAGCACGTTTTAAACCCACGTTGCGGTATTGTTTACCTCTGCAAAACTGGGGTTGAAAACGCGCAGGAAACCTGTCGGTCCGAGTGGACCAGAAAACGCGACTTGGATAAACTTTAGGCTTTGAGACGGAAAGCAAACGATTTTCAATCAGGCCAAAGATTATTGCAATCCGAGAGAAAACTCCGCTGCCACGTTCGCCGTTCCCAAGACCCGCTTGGCCCTCAAGGGGGGTGGGGGAAAGCAAGCACCGCCAAGCATAACCTCCGACCCGCCGGCCCAAGCAGGCTCCTGGCGCTCCCTTTTACCTGTGCAGAGAGAGGCGCAGGCTGTCAGGACAAGCGCCGCAGCAGCTCCCAGTCCGGAGCGGAGCGCTCGCCTCATGACGGCACATGGGAGAAGTTCTGGCAGGTGGGAAGGAGCGAGCTGGAGGCGGGGTGGGGGCGCGTGTGTGGGGCTTACGGGGCTGTCCGGAGAGGCGAGCTTCCCGGAGGCTGGTCTCCCCCACCCCCACGCCCTCCCCTCCAGCCGTGCGACGCGGAGCTCTTTGCCACCAGTGACTCTCGGCGCAGCTGGAAGAAAGAGGCGGGCATGAAGTTTCTCTCCCCCCCCCCCCCGCTCCACCCCGACTCCGCCTTGCCCGGTCACACCCCCTTGCCCTGCGGAGGGCTTGCCCGGGTGAAGAAGAAGCCGCCTGGAGGGTCGGTGCCAACAGGCAGGCGGGCGCAGAGGGAGGGAAGCGCAGCTCCAGGTAGCTCGGGGTGGCGCGCCTTGACACAAGCGGCTTTCCAGCCACCTGGAAGGAAACGGCGAATGGTCGAAGGATTGGTTGTTGTACACACACACACGAGCAAAGGGGCCGCCGGTGGCAGCAGGACTGTTTCGTTTCTGGCGGGTAGTTCTAGGCGAGGGGGCAAGAGCGCGCCAAAATCAGCGCCCTGTCAACCCCTCGGCTGCCCCCCCCACCCCCCTCTCTCTCGAGCGCACTTCTTATTCTGGAAGCCGGGTTTTTTTTTTTTTGTTTGTTTTTTTACATAAAAGCATATACAGGAAGCATATACAGGTAGTCCTCGGCTTACGACAGCACTGGAGCCCAACTTTTATGTGAGCCCAACGCTCAGTGAGACATTTGAAGTGAGTTTTGCCCCATTTGACTTTGGCTTTCCTTGCCACATCGGTTAAGTGAATCGCCACATTTGTTCAATCAATAACATGGTTGTTAAGTGACTCTGACTTCCCCCCTTGATTTTGCTTGCCAGAAGGTTGCCAAAGGGCCTGACCCTGCAACACGGCCACTGTCGTAAGTGTGAGTCAGTTGCTGAGCAGCTGGATTTTGATCGCCTGACCCTGGGAATGCTGCAACAGTCATACGTGTGAAGAATGGTCATAATAAGTCACTTTTCTCAGTGTTGTTGTAACTTCGAATGGTCACTAAAGGAACTGTTGTAAGTCGAAGACTATGTGTATACATGGCTGTGGCCAAGATAGTGGGACTAATTCTATTTTCAATCAATCAATCTTTATTTATTGATTAGCCCTTGGGTCATATCAAAGTGCAGAGTTCCAGAAACAAATTATTACAAAAGTTTGGTAAAACAGTTTAAATGAAATTGGAATAACGCACGATTTAAAATGAAATTGGAATAAAATACGATCTAAAATGAAATCGGAATAAAGTACAATAATTTGAGATACAAATTAAATATGATTAGAATTATATTATAATGTCACCCCTGCATCTACCCAATCAGTCTTAAAACTACTATTGAAATTACATTATTAAATCAAATGATCTTTCCTACAATCTACCAGATTCTGCTGCACCAACTTTGTCCTTTTTTCCATCAACTTTACCGCCAATTTGGCAATCCATTTCACCCGCTGCAAGTTAGAACCTAACAAACAATGTTGCAAGAAGCGCTCTTTAGACTTAGGGTGCTGGTATAAAAGATCCTGCCCAGCTGATGTTCCCTCAAATCTGAGTACAGGGGACAATCAAAAATTACATGGGATATTGTTTCAACTTCCCCCATCCCACATAAACAGACTCTTTCACTTACAGGGATACCCTTATACGTATCCCAAAGCATGTTTGTTTGAAGTTGGTCTAATCTCGGTAAAAAATCTCCTTATGACGGGAAATAAAGGCACAGTTAAATATTTTTCTATTTTAAAAATTTGTTTATTGGCTGATAACCAGGGGCAAACTTTTCCTGCTGTCACCTGTGCAATATCCGATTGTGCACTTATGTCCTTAAATCTCTGTGCAATCCAATTTCGGATCTGCCTATGATCGTACTGCTGCCAATTTAAAGGAATATCAGAGCTAGATACCTGCTTCAGAACTCTTGATAACCAGTTATTTTTATTACTTGAGATAATCTGATCCATTAGCGCTAATTTTGGTAACCTCCCTTCCTCCATCTTAATTATTCTTAACCAATAATAAACGGTCTTTAACAAATCCCTAGTGCCTTGTTTCATGGACTCCCATTTCTGCCCTTACTACACATGCTGGGGTTCCAGGGGACACTGCCAAAATTCTCAGGAACTTATTTTGAGGAGTTTCCAGCCCAGGCAACTTAACCGACCCCCATATTTCTGCCCCATAGGTAAATATTGGTTCAATTTTCGCCTGGAAGACCTTTAGCACTGGGATTAATGAAGATGGAGTTTTCTCTAAAATAAGTTTGTTTAATTGAGCCATCCGAGCCATGGCCTTTCAAGCTCCGGCTTTTACCTGCTTATTCCATTTGCCATTTGTCTGAAATACTAGCCCTAAATAGGTAAATGACTGAACTTGTTCTATTCTTCTGTCATTTAAAACCCATCTCCTCATATTTTGTTGGCTGCTAAATATCATTACCTTTGATTTCTCTACGTTAATTGTCAAGCGATTTTTTATACAATCTGCTGCCAACCTCCTGAGTGACCTTTGCAGCCTCACCTGTGAGGCCGATAGCAAAATTATATCATCGGCATATAACAAGCAATTTACCTGTCTTGTTGCTATACTAGGCCCATGGAGTGATATATCTTCCAAACATTTTGGAAGGTCTTTTAAATTCTAATTCTATTTATTTATTTATATCCTGCCTTCATTATTTTTTTACAAATAATTCAAAGTGGCGAACGTACCTAATACTCCGTCCTCCTGTTTTCCCTACAACAACAACAATCCTGTGAGGTGGGGTTGGGCTGAAAGAGAATGAGTGGCCCACTGGCTTTCGTGCCAGCCAGAGTGTTTAGATCTAAAGTCTGCATGCCATTCTCCACTTCATATAAACCCAAAGTGTTGCTGCTTCACCAAGTATCTGAGATTAAATGTGAGATAGTTATTTAACAGTGTTTCTTAGCAGTGTTTCTTGCCTTTCCCCCACTTTCATGTTGGGGCTGGATATCTATATATCTATATCTATATCTATATTTATATAGATATATATCTATTATATAGATATTAATATATATATTAACACTTTTTAAAATGTTTTTAATTTGTTATTGTTTTTAATCATGGGGCCAAATTTATATATATCTTTTTAATTGTATTTTAATGTTTGTAGTTTATGTTTTTACTTGGCTGTTCACCGCCCTGAGTCCTCAGGGAGAAGGGCGGTATTCAAATTTAAAAATAAATAAATAAATAAATATCTATATATCTATATTTATATCTATATATCTATATTAATATCTATATACCTGTATCTATTTCTATATATTTATATCTATCTATGCCTATTTCTATATCTCCACATGCATACATACATACATATACCTCTTTTATTATAAAGGGCAGACTTCTTATTAAAAAGGACACCTTTCCTTTAGATTTAGTTGTTTTCTTTTTTTTTCCCCACAGTTTTGCTCTTGAATTTTCCTTTGTAAAGCAAAGTTATAAACATAAACATATTTTTAAGCCTTATGGAGTTCTTTCACATTTATCCCCTTTTTAGGTTAGTCCCTTAGTTTTTCCATTAAAATATAGTCAATGTGGAAATATATTGGGAATGTATACATGGCTGTTTATAACATAACATTCATTTATATGCTTACATACTTAAATTTCTTAAATTAATTTATGTAATTGACTTAAGAAAGTTTCATGTAAGATATGACCCAAAAATCATTTTTTTGGAATGGATCAGCTGTAACATTGCAGGAATCCCCCTCATATTTTTACTTATTATTTATCTTTGTAAGAATACCTCATTTTTGGACCCTCGGAATTAAGGCTTTTTTACTCAGGAAAATATTTCCCATAGAAGAAGACCTGGGCATTGTACAGCCCTCCAGGCACATCCAGACCTTTGGCTTTCCCTATCCAGCCAAGAAACAAAGACTGCATAAAGTCAATTGGAAATTACAAATCAAAAGTAAATAAGTGTATGACATGTACACAATACAACCACATTGCTTTTATTTTATTTTAATTTATTTTTATTTCCCCAATTTACACATATGCCTTTGTGCGTGCTTACACACTTTCACAGCCCTATTGGTTCAGCCTTCCACAACAGTCTCAGTTTCTCATGTGGCATCTTGGGAAAATTAATTGCCCACCCCTGCTATAGAAAATCCATGAATTATTATTTCTATGTGGAATGTGTAAGTGCAGGTAGTCCTCAACTTACAAACCACAATTGAGCTCAAAATTTATGTTGCTAAGCAGGACATTTGTTAAGTGAGTTTTGCCCCATTTTATGACCTTCCTTTCCACAGTTGTTAAATGAATCACTGCAGTTGTTAGGTTAGTAACATAGTTGTTAAGTGAATCTGGCTTCCCCATTGACTTTGTTTGTCTGAAGATGATCACACAATTCTGGGACAACTGTCATAAATATGAGTCATTTTCCAACTGTCTGAATTTTGATCATATGAAGTCATTTTTTTCACTGATGTAACTTTGAACAGTTGCTAAATGAACTGTAAATCGAAGACTACCCATATATGAATATTGCAAGCATTTCCTGTTTACAAGCTGAGATGGTAAGGGGCAATTTTTTACCCTCCAATACCTATGGCTTTAGTGAAAGCTTTTCCATTTTATTACAGGATTGTTTAAAAACTTATTTGAAGTTCTACCCTGTTCTATATAACACAGCAGCAAAACTGCTTTCAGCATATAACACAATTATTATATAATGAAAATAGGTTATTTCCCACATTGACATAAAAAAGCTGGTTGATATTTAATTATTATTATAATTACTATTAAGATTATTAAGAATAGTATAACTTTTCTTACGCTTCTCTGTATTATTAATAATAGTATAACTTTTCTTACGCTTCTCTGTATAATCATTTGAAGCTAGTTTTTCTTGGTGACTAAGCCTTTTCAGGATTGTAAATATCTTGAACATTGAACAGTCATTTATACAGTGCTAATAAGCCCATTTATTCCTGTCAATATACATTTTGAAAGGAATTCTGAATCAGATTAATAGTTTTGCAAATAGCTATTATATAGAGATACCTGATATACTTTAAAAATTACA